ACGAAGAATACACAACTATGTGCCGGAGGGCTTTGGGGAGAAAAAGGATAAAATACAATCTTTAAAAAAAAAATAAAAGCTAGTGTGGGGGGTGGGGGGGTGGGTGAGGAAGGAAGCGGAGAGAAGAAATTGAAGGAACTTAAAGTCAAGGACCTCACCCCAAATCTGCAAACCGTGACTCCAAAGGGTTAATCAGCAACTTGCACCGGCCACCTGGTCCTCTCGCTAAGATGTTTTGATAGAGATTTAGGATTGCTGATCGGGTGGTGTTTAAAACTGAATATTATTTGTGTGCACAATAAACCAGGACTGGTGTGAGGGAGAGGAGAAAAGTGGTTTTGCAGAGACTGTCACAAGTCTTCTGAAAAGTATTTGAGATGCCGATAATGCAACCCCTACCGCAAGGCAAGGGTCCCCGAGTTCCCGAAGTGACTCCCTCCTCCTGCGTTTATTAAAGTCGTCTGCTCTAATGCTCGCTGATTACGGTCACCCCGAAGGTGAGCTGGGCCAGGGGAACGGCTACGCAAAGGAGGGGCGGGCTGAAGAGTGTCAAAGGCCCCCGTTCTTGTACACAAACACACCCCCTCCCAGCCCCTCCCAACGCTTTGAAATCCCATCCCGGCTTTGTTGTCTCCCCCCGAGGGGCTGGAATGCTCAGAGCCCGCAGTATAAAGGCAGCCGCGGTGGCGGTGGCGGCGCAGAGCTCTCTGTGCGCCCAGGAGTTAGAACCCTGGGACCTCTGGAGGCTGTCAGAGCCCTGACTCGGCAGCGCGGCTTCGTGGGGACCAGGCTTGCAAAGTGACACTCCTCCTTTCTCTTTCTTTCTCTCTCTTGAGTCCTTCTGATATGACGGCTCTGGGCGCAGTGGGCGCTGCCCGGGTCTTGGTCGCCCTGGTAGCTGCGGCTCTTTGCAGCCACCCTCTGCTCAGAGTGAGCGCCACCTTGAACTCGGTTCTCGTCAATTCCAACGCCATCAAGAACCTGCCCCCACCGCTGGGCGGCGCTGCCGGACACCCAGGCTCCGCAGTCAGCGCTGCTCCGGGAATTCTGTACGAGGGCGGGAACAAGTACCAGACTATTGACAACTACCAGGTGAGAAGGGTGTCGGGGATCTGGGGACGCTGTGACCCTAAGGGAGTCTCTTTCGGGTCTCTAAAGAAGGGCGTAGAACTTGCTGACTGTGTGCGGTTCAGGGCGAATATGGAAACTGCATTGGGAAGCAGCGGGCAGCAAGAGCTTTCGGAGAGGTGGGCAGAAAGGAACGGTGATGAGCGTCCAGATCCAGGAGTTTGGGTACCTGGGTGCCCTGGTGCCTCACCCTCTCCCGGCTCCCTTCCCGCAGCCGTACCCGTGCGCCGAGGACGAGGAGTGCAGCACCGATGAGTACTGTGCGAGTCCCACCCGCGGAGCGGGCGCCGGCGCGCAAGTCTGCCTCGCCTGCAGGAAGCGCCGAAAACGCTGCATGCGCCACGCTATGTGCTGCCCTGGGAATTTCTGCAAAAATGGTGAGTCCCGTAGCTCCTTTTTAGACTCAAACTGTCCGGTTTTTGCATGCCTACGGATGGGAGAAAACGCTCCTGGCTCTGCGAAAGCTGCGGCGCCACCTGCAAACGGGTGCTCAGCGCGCGAGGTTCCCCTGAAATCTCTTCCCTGCGAGTGATTCATCCGGCAGGAGAGAAAGGACGGAGGTCTTGGAGCTCCTTATCTTCCTCTGTGCTCCTCGATTATTTCACACAGCTTACCTTAGAGTGGACCGCTCCATAAAAATTTGAGGAGAGTCTTCACATCAACCGAGAAAGAAGATGGGGAGGGAGGTGGAATTATACAGAGACCAAGGAAACCAGCATTAGTGTTTAGCTGCGCTTTGCATTTTTCCCTGTTGAAACTGTTGTCAGCCAGAAGACAGAGTGATTGATCTGCGCTGGCCACTCCTAAGGAAAGATCCTGATAGCTTCGCATCCTGGCCTCTCCATCCTTACCCCTCCCTCCCCCTCCTGCTATCTTAAAATAAGTGCTCCACCTCCCCTCCCACCACAGATCCACTAAAATTTAATGTCTCAAAGAGGGAGACTCAGACAGCCAAAGAAGTCTCCAGAAATAAACTTAAGGGTGGCGACCCTCCTTAGGACCCAGTAATACTCCAGGATGATGAACTAACTAAATCTCTGTAATATAGAAATTATACAGTAAACTAACTGGTGGGTGAGATTGTAATCTTCCAGGCAGCTGTTGCTTTGCTTAACTTAGTCTGGCAGTACCCATATAGCACCAAGAGCAGAGAAGTTATTTTTAAAAACAATTTTTTAAGTGACTGATTTTCTTTTTCTTACCCCAAGGGTCATATTAAAATGGGCAGAAATCTCACTGCCACTACCACAGTTGGTAGGAAAGTATTTTAAATGGCTATATATGGGATGTTGCATATCACTGCACAGTGTCCACATTGATGCTTCTGTCCATCTGGGCAGTTTTGCATTAACACTAGGGAGGAAGTTTGGCTTGTGCTTAAAATAATGACACTACAATCAGGTATCTCAAGTTAGTGCAGGCATAACAGACTGCCACTGTTACAGCGGTAGGTGGTAACACATCACAGCTTGGGAGTTAATCACTATCTCCTGCTTCCTTAGGAATATGTATGCCTTCTGATCACAATCATTTCCACCGAGGGGAAATCGAGGAAACCATTATTGAAAGCTTTGGTAATGATCACAGTACCTTGGATGGGTACTCCAGAAGAACTACCCTGTCTTCAAAAATGTATCATACCAAAGGTAGGTTGAAGGACCTTAAGATTCATTCTTCTTTGTTAGCACATCAACAGTGTCTTTTGGATTATCTTAATGAAATGATGCAGTGACCATGTACTTTTCCTATTGTCCCCTCCTTCCTAGGACAAGAAGGTTCTGTCTGTCTGCGATCATCAGACTGTGCCACAGGATTGTGTTGTGCCAGACACTTCTGGTCCAAGATCTGTAAACCCGTCCTCAAAGAAGGTCAAGTGTGCACCAAGCACAGGAGAAAAGGCTCCCATGGGCTGGAGATATTCCAGCGTTGTTACTGCGGAGAAGGTCTGTCTTGCCGGATACAGAAAGATCACCATCAAGCCAGTAATTCTTCTAGGCTTCACACCTGTCAGAGACACTAAGCCAGCTGTCCGAACACGGTGGACTCCTTTTCTATAATATATGCTATGAAAACCTTTTGTGACTGTCAATTCAGTCCTTAAGGATGTACAAATTCTGTGGTTACAGTTAAGCATTCCAATAATACCTTCCAAAATTCTGGAGTGTAAGAGCTTTGTTTCTTTATGGAACTCCCCTGTCACTGATTGCAGTAAATTACTGTGTTGTAAATTCTCGGTGTGGCACTTACCTGTAAATGCAATAAAACTTTTAATTATTTTTCTACAGGTGCTGCATTGTCTATCGTTCCTCTTGTTATGTAAATTTTTGTATACATTGATTGTTATCTTGACTCTGAAAAATATTCTATATTGAATGGAAATAAATAATTTCAGCTTATACTTCTTAAATGCATAACTCTTTCCCCTTTTAATTCTAGAATCTAGAATGTAAGGAGCTTTTGGAATGACAAATGATAGGTAACTAAAATTTGTCATGAAAATATTAGCTTATTTTCTGAAATGTACTATCTCAGTGCTTAGACTATATTTATCTCCAGGCTGTGATAGCCCTTGAAATAAAATTTAACATTCAATACCATAAAATGTTACAAGTATAGATAAATTTTGGCATTGTGATCTGAGAGGCCCCTGTGTGTGTCTGTGTGTGTATGGTCCACAGGACAGAAATGTGACGTGTTTAAAGATGATCAGAGAAAGATGTCGTCTAAATGTAAGACAATATTCATCAATTATAATTTTAAAGAAAAACGTTCTCCGTTCACAAACTCAAATGATCATGGTATATGAGATTGAATCTTACATTACTACTTTCAAAAGTAGTTTCCAGTAAATTAATAGTATCTACCCAAATCTATTGGGTAACAAAGGAGATTTCCCACAAAATAGGAGAGTCAAGTTCTTGATGGTTGGCAGGAAGAGGGTGTGTGTGGGGGCGTGTATGTGTGTGTGTAAATACAGTTGACAAATACGTGCAGATTTTGTACCAAATTTGTTAATTTGAAGTATCTTAAATACTTCATGCCAGGAAGACTTATTCTAATTATTTTGATTTTAACATAATTATTAAATAAAAATCACAAAGCCTCCCTCATGCCATTCTTTTCTTCTCTTGCTAGGTGAGCTGAATATTTCAATTTTTGCTTAAACTGAAATCTGTTGATAGGAGTGAGGATGGGGTATATTGTTTAAAAGAAAACCCCCAGAAATGAAATCTAACCTGACTTTGCATTTTTACTTGCCAACTTTGATATCGGCAAATCTGACACTGAGGAAGGAGAAAGCGATCATCCCAATTTACGCTTATTCTGTAATGTTCTAAAAGTCTACATCAAAACCACAAAATGCTGGGTTAAGGCGTGCCAAAAGGACAGTGACGATCAATTGTCCAGAAAGTTTCCTTAAATAACACAGATGTCCTAGAATGTTTGTTGTTTTGTAGTTCCGGAAGTGGTTCAATTTCAAGAGACTCAGCCAGCGGGACACAAGGGTTGGTTGGTTCTTCGCTGAGAAGAGAACTGGCAGGATGTCTGCTGTTACATTCCTTTTGTCTGGAAGTTTCAGCTTCCTCACCCTGGAGAAACTTTCTTTTTCTACATGTGCCTGTTTGCTGAAGTGCCAGGAAGGCCAATTCTAAGGCCTGCCGTCTCCAATAAAGCACAATAGAGGAGAGGAAACAGGAAACCCTTTCTTCTAAAAGAAGAAAGAAGGGCCTCTGTTTTAAGAGGGGAAAGGAGTAATCATTTAAAGGGCCTTGGTTCTGCGACCCCTTCCTTTCTACTGTGGCCGGAGACTTTCCATCCGTCCCTGCACGTCTCAGTCCCTCAATCCTACCTCTAGTCTTTCCTGCTTCCCGTCTTGCGATGGGGGTGGGAGAATGAGAAACCAAGGAGGGACACCTCTTCTTCCTATCTGACTGAGAACTTAGGAAGGGATTTCCATCAGAAGGAAATTCTGCACATTTATAAAGGGGAAAAAAAAATATCAAGAAAACTGTAGATATTTTATTAGTAATGGAAAGGTGGAAGTCAGGCACAATACCATTTCAAAGGAGAATCATTTAAGGAATCAAACATTTTGGATTGTGGCTGCTTAAATGTGTATATGATTTTACTTTTAAACTATTTATTTGAATGGAAAATATATGCACTTGGGAATGCATTCAGAAAATATTTTATCAACTGGTAGCACACTGTACACACTGCCCTGCACCTTGCTCTTTTTACCTTCTGTGTCTTGCAAATCATTCTATGTCATACACAGAGAGGTGCCTCATTCTTTTTCGTGGTTTCATTAGGGTGGAGTATGCTGGAATGGCTATACCATAATTTATTTAAAGAGTCATTATTGAGAGACTTAAATTGTTTCCAGTATTTTTGCTCTAACAAATATTGTGCCAGGAGTATAGAATTTTTTTTGTGTTCTTGTGCTGGTAGAGTTGTAGGATAAGTTAATGACTGATTTTTCAAAATCTGAAATCAAAAAGCATGCTTTCTGTAGCTACTCCTAAGGGGTGGTGTGGGCAGAATGTCGGGATGCCTGCTTATCACTGATCTGGTGATGATGAAACTCTTGCTGAGTTGTATCAAAGGAGGAAGAGGGAAATACAGGCTTATCCTAACAATTTCACAGTAAACAATAATCCCTGGCATTCAGTTAAAGGTAGACTTACTCTAATTCCTTTGATTTTAAAATAATTGTTAAATAAAATCACCAACAAGTCTTTTCCCCATCCTCTTTTTCTTGTTTTGCTAGAAGAGTTAAATATTTCAAATTTTGTTTAACCTGACGTCTACTGATAGGAATGAGGACGGGGATATGTCGTTTAAAAGAAAAACCACAGACACGCAACCTAAATCTGATTCTTCATATTTCAGCAGATAAAACACTTTTGGGATTTTTCCCATGGTAAATCCAATTACGCTAATTAAATCATGGACTTAGTAACATAATTATGCAGTTGTAAGTTTTATTAGTTTCAGTATTTCTGATTGCATAATCAAATTAACACTCAATGTCACTGATGGAAATTTCAGGAGAAATCATTAAATTTTCCTTCATTTTTTCAACTGACTATATTATCTAACTTTATCGTGCTACCAACTTTCTTTCATAGTCTTAAAGAGAAATGGACGATGCTACCATTAGGCTTATAAAATGTGTTTCATTGAGTTCTGGATTACAATTTTCACATCTTCTGAAATACTACTTTGAGTACAGTATCAAAATATAAAATAAATACATTATTTCTACACTGAAAAAGCAGAAAACAATCTACATAATTTAGACATCTGACTTTTGTACAAATGTGTGTACATTTGTGGGCCTTTATATGCTTGTCCTAATGGCAACTGCTTACAATGATATGAGATGACAATATAGGTAAAGCTAGAGAATTTTAATTCAATAAACATTGAGCCTGCTGTGCTTTTTAGGCACTATGCTGGCATTTTAAATGCTGTGTACAATACACTCTCTAACTTCAAGGGGCTCACTCTTTAGCAGAGAGACAATAAACAACTATTAGTGCCGGGAGTTGGTTTAATATAGTGGTTAGAAACACAGTGTCTGGGATCAGATAGACTTGGTGGGGAATGACAGCTCCCTCAGTTTCAACTGCATGATGTTGGGCGAAGGATATGACCTCACTGATAATATGGAGAGAATACCAACTTCAGAGTGTAGGCATGAGGATAACATGTGCCTTATAATAATATTTAGCATTATGTCTAGCTCATAGTAAGCACTCAATTTTAGATCTTTACTAATGGACAATAAAATATATATATGTGTGTATATATATATATAGTATGTGTTTGTGTGTGAGGAAGATTGGCCCTGAGCTAACATCTGTGGCAATCTGTCTCTATTTTATGTGGGATGCTACCAGAGTGTGGCTTGACAAGGTGCTAAGTCCACGCCTGGATCCGAACCCACAAACCACCAGCTGCCAAAGCAGACTGGTGAACTTAACTAGTATGCCACAGTGCTGGCCCCTATATTTTATTATAACATATTGCATTGTATGTATTAATATCTGAAACAGATTAAAAAGTCATTACATCAGCCTGTAGGTGCTCAGAAAAAGCTTTAGGGAAGCAGAAGTATTTGATCCATCTTCTTCTCAAGGTCTTTTTATTTCAAGGAAGAGAAACCACTGAAACTAGAGAAAGTAAAAAGAAGACAAAAGTTGAAATGATACCTCTCATGAGAGCTGGCGTGGAAAACATTCTGCAGACTGGCTTCATTAGCTTGCTAATGATTTTGGCTCTACTGTAATCTGGACGTCTATGGTTTGTCATGGTGGCATACATTCTGTCCTCATTATAAATGGCCTTCTGGCTCAGGTCTCAGCAAACTGTTTAGCCTCTCAGACTCAGAGACAAATTCCTGAGCAAGGGTTCTGATTGGCTCAGCTTGGGTCAGGGGTTCACGTGTGCTCCACTTGGCTAGCTTGGCTCCCTGGATCCTCAGAATAAGCATGGCTGACTACATGCAGTCCATCTTTAAGAGGAACTTTAGTGGTTCCAAGGAAGGAGAGTGTAGGAACAGGCACCATATGTCACATCTACCACGTAATAGTTTTAAAGGATGAGGAGGTTACAAGGTAGAAAAGAAAAGAAAGGGTATTAGAGGCAGAGGAAGCCATGTGAGCTAAATTACAAAACTGGAAAAATAAAAATACATAAAGTGTGAAGAAAAGAAGCAATAATCCACTGTGGCTGGAGTGTGGGGTACCTGGGAGGAGGACTTTTCTGATTTGGGGGAATTTATTATCCAGGAAAAAATAACATCAACAACTCTTCATTTTCAGCAACAGCCACTGTATTAGGTGACAATGGAGTTGTAGACGATATGTGTGAGACATATTTTGTCTCAAAAGATTACTAGACTGTCCTCAAAAGCCATGGTGATTTTTTTCCTCTTTGCCAAAAAGGTTATAAAATAAGGACAACATTGTTTCACTTCCAGCAAGAGTTGTCATATTAGGTGGAGTTGAAGGTAAAGAAATTATGTTTCAGACAATTCTGTTTTTGACTGATGTAATTAGCACACAGCTTTCACAAATTATAGATTTTTTCCTTGCCACAAAAGTTATAAATTAAACTAATATGAAACAATCTCTAAATATTAGTAAATGGAAAATTACATTTGCAGGCCAGTGATAACCAACCTCCTGTGATTATCAACTGTTAAACAAAGCCTACTAAAAAAATACAATTGGTAGAAGACATGAAGCATGTGTGAACCTGATAATTCCATATTACGTCTCACAATGTTTCACACTAACTTCATCCCAATAAGCAAAAATTACTTTTAAAGAGAGTCCTATTATTGAAACATTTCACGTATCTGTGACACTCTGAAGTTCAAATTAAAGGCAGATGATAATACTTATATTATCTATACTTATATATACTTATATATATATACTTATATTATAAGTATATATAGATAATACTTATATTATCTATACAGATAATACTGGCACAGAGGTGCAGAAAACAGGGCACCCTCATAACCTGCTAGCAGCCACTGCAATTGGCATTAGCTTTCTGAAAGCAACTTGGCAGGTGTTTTAAAATGTGACAATTCTTGGATGCAGCAATTGAACTTACAGAAATGTCTTTTAAGAACAGTCACGGATGTAGACAAAAATCCATCCACAGTGACATTTTAATAGCACAAATTAAAAATGAACTAAACGTCCAATAAGAGAAGTGTTTAGATGTTATGATATGTCCTAAAATGTTCTGCAATCAAATTTGTCTGGAGAAATGTTCGTAATTCTCCATGTCAGAATGTTTTTTTAACTTTTTTTTTTTTTGAGGAAGATTAACCCTGA